GCATAGAACTGATGGGAATATGTATTACTGAAAATATAAATGCCCGAGTGGTGGAACGGATCTACCACTTGGGCATATTTATCAAATCTAGTTGAGGTTCACTGAGGTCAGATCTGCAAACTGGAAACAATGACAGCTCCAGGGATCACTGCTTCTCCTTTTGAGAATGGGTTAGACTTAATGACTGAGTCCTAAAGAATAGAATAAATAAGGCAAAAAATAGCAACTTTTTAGTGGAGGAGACTGGCAAATCTACCTTAACCACATGATCAGGATAATATCACCAGGGATGTCACGTGGATCTCAGTGAGCAGTGAATCCTGACAGCCTGGGACTTTAAAGGTACTCCAGGTATTCTAAGAACCCATAGCTCTAGTCAAAGCCAGATTGGAGGATATTCTACCGAACACCTGTTCAGTATTCCCTTACACCACTAAAGTCATTTTTTTTAAAAAGGAAAGACTGAGAAACTACCAAGAGACTGGGGAGATACACCAACTCAATGCAATGGGGTGTGCTGGATTGGATCTGGAACAGAAACCCCAGGAGTTTAGTTAATAGTAAAGTATGAATAGCAATGTTGATTTCTTTGACAATATACAGTTGATAATTGACAAATGTAAGGTGTTTAACGAGGAGGACTGAGGGAGGGGTATACAGTAACTCCCTGTAGTATCATTGTAACTTTTTGTAAATCTAAACTCATTCCAAAATAAAAATTTATTGGAAAAAAAATCAGTGATAGATAACATGGTGCACTTAAGAGAAAGTGTTAGGAGGAAGGAAGAAAATCTGCAGGTATCTGGCCAGATCATCAAATGTGGGCAGCAGCTTTTACGTGCTTCATAGATTGAAGCATCCTGTTATTACAGCAGACTTTTATAATAACAGACACAATAAAAGTAAATGGGATGATTATTTGTTATACATGTTCTTCCCATTATCTTTCCATGACATTTATTAGCATTTTCGATCCTAGTTTTGAAAGCGAGGATTGACTTGGGAGGTGGTAGGATGAGCAGTTTTAAATGAGCTGCCTCAAGCCAGGAAGAGCTCTGCATGGAAAGGGTCACAGCATTAGGACGGTTGAGAACCACTGCTCTAAGTCAACCCCTAATCGAGTCCTGCAGACTGGCGGGCAGGTTGATGGGAGGGCTCCTCCAATAACGGCCATCCCAGTGATCAGGGCTATTATATTTGGAGACAGTAACTAATGTGCCAGATTTCGCACCAGAGGATTAATATATAAGATTATACTACATCCTCAGCACTATATGAGCTTGCAATTATTTTCTCATTTTAAAGATGAAAAATTTGATCATCAGAGAAATTACTTGCCAAGGTTGCAAATGAGATTCAAATACAAGCATTTCTGACTTTTCTACTAAATCACTAAACAAGGAACTTTCATTAGGGCAAATACCTAACTAAATACTTAACTTGGGTACGAGCCTAGTATCATTAGTTTTAACCACTATATTGAGATCTTTCACATTATATATTAGATATAGGCAGATCTTATCCACTCTACTGAGCTCGTGTATGGGGAAGCATTAACACTGTATTTGATATATCACACATATAAGCCCCCTTCTGTCTTTACAGAATACATCTCTTTTTAGTTGGCTTCAAACTGTGTTTTAGGCCTGAGAATCATGTGAATTACCATGGCAATTCAAAAGGGTAGAGTACTCTACTGTCAAAAGTGAGGTTTAACCAGTTTAAATGAGATGAGCTAAGGCCAATATCAAATTATTCTAGACAAATATATGTATATAGACATGTCATCCTATGTCAATAAATCTTTGTCAATGAATCTTTCCTAGGGTTAGAAATAGACCAGATTTTCAATAACTGATCCATCTTTGCTAGATCATATGATTACATGCTTTGTTAAGGACCCATTTGTATATTTAATTCAATTTATGGGCGTAAAGGGAGTCATTTTCTCTCATCATTATTATAGATCTGCTTTAAGATTTTCTTATTTTAATATGGACACTTCCTCTTTACATTCTCCCTCTGAATTTGAATAGACTATCATCTCTTCCAAATCGGAACCACTATCTTCAGGGTTGATACATCAGGTCCAGTGAAGAAGACTCCTTAAGTGCTTTAATAAAGTCCAAAATTTGCCAGAAAGAAATGAGGGCGAGAATGTCAAAGACTAACTCTTCCCATGCTATTATATTAGGGGACTTCCCCCGAGTGAGGTGGGGCTAAATGAAAGAGAGGTGGGAAGAACTGGAAATTGTAAGGTCATCTTCTTTACACCAAAATATGCAATTATAAGGGCTGCCGTGCTGTACTAGCAGGGAGCCCTGCATTACAGAGGGAAGCAGGACTTGGTTAGACAACAAGCATCTGAACTCCTAATCTAATGTGAACAGTGATCCAGACACACGAGCAATGTTCTACAAAACAGTGATAGCAAACAGCCACCGGCTGCCGGGATGAGTCATTTGTGGAACATCAAGAAAGGAAACTACTTTTTAACCCAAGTAACACACGACTGCTCTAGTCTGGACTTCGACCATTAACAGTAAACGAATGACCTAGTGAGGGCTTCACTACTTTGGTTCTCCTGGGATGCGGGTCAGAGCACATTCCTAGAGCCTCTTTTACCTCTCTCTTGATATGTTCTGTGAATTTCATTTAATTAATGCTTTTGCAATAACATAGGAGTTTTGGCACGTGCATCACACATGGACATGAGCCGCGTTTTGCCTTTATATTTGATTTGAGCTCTGTCAGCCTTCCCGTGGTTCTGTAGAAGGTGGAGCCAGACAAGAGTGAAGGTGAAGAATTGCAAATCAGAGCCTCAGAGGACAAATTTCACTGAAAAACCACAGGTTAAAAGCACGAGCCCCATAAAGTAGAGTGACTGGTGGGTCACCTTTACTTCCAATTAATATGCTGTTTCTTCCAAATCAGATCTTTGAAATGGGCCTTTAAGTCTTGAGGACTTATTTTCAAGATTGACTATTCTAAGGGATTCTACAGTTATTCTAATGAATAATTCCTCTACCTTTTGAGACTTTCTTTGTTCTTTTGGGTCCCAAAGACACCTCTGAATTTACTGGACTTACGCTTATGCCAAGTTACTTATCCTAATTTAAGAGGTTTCTTCATATAGAAGTTTTATCACATGAGATATGATAAGGAAAGCACCTGCCAGAAAACGTCATTTTCCTGTAACGCCTCAAATCACAATTACCTTTGTCAACAGTGAATAGATAATGCCACAGGAAAGGCAGAATAGATAATTGAAAGCCACAGATAAGTCTCAAATCTCATCTCAGCCAAGAATTTCAAATGCATCCCCACTCCAAACCTACTTTCTTCTGAGTTGATGCTAAGCTGAAAAATATCACTTGAGACCCATTATCTTTTTTATTTTTTATATTAAGAACTATAAGCTATTTCTTTGAAAGTTTGAAACAAGAAAAAACATAAAACACTGCCCTTTATAATTAGTAGCTTCTAGAAGTCAATTTAGTTTGTAAAGTAGCTACATCTTGCATTGGAAATATATACGCCCATCACTTACGGGTTAAATTAGATTCGTGCTAGTCTGCTACTAATGAGCTCATTTATGTTAGAAAATGCAATGTGTTGTTTACAGAAGGAAGAAAAGTAGAGGTTTGGGGAATTGCTCCTCCTGCTCAGACTTTCCTTTTAAAGAAAGTGAGAGTGCCCGATAGATGGGAGAAACTAAAAGGCATTGGCGGCTAAGGAACCAGCGCAGTGGGGCGAGCAGGCTGCGGCGGCACAGAGAACTGAGAAGGAGGAACTGCGTGGAGCCATCTAGGAGGTTCCATCTAGGAGGTTCAGGGATTGGGCTACCAGGGAAATGGGTCCTCTCTCAGCACCAGCCACGGCCCACGAAGCCTGGCATTCACCCCTGGGACTGGCCTGGGATTTCAGGATTTCTCCCCACTAAGGCTTACGCCAGATCCCACTCACAGAAATCGGAGCTCAGCAGTGACTGCCCCAGGAGTGCTTTCCTATGTCAACCCTGCTAGTCCTAACTGTTGCCTCTTCTGTCCCTCTAGGCAGGTCCACGCTTGGAGACCATTTTCAGATTGGGTTCATACATCTTTGGCTCTCTACAAAACTCTTGCTTTCCTATCAGCATCCTTGCCTGTTCTCTTGGACACTGGTCTTCCTCATCTTCTCCGACTTTATTGCACTTTCCTGTTGGTCCCACAATTATGAAGGAGCCCAGAATGTGAATACCTAACTCACTCAACGGCTTTAGCCTCTTCTGGCCTCTTCTACCCGATTACCTCATGTGTCATGATATAGACAGTGATCTAAAATAGTGACCAGAATGTCAACAGTGCCCAGTAAATACTGACTGATGAGGTGACTAACATTTAGCTATGTATTTGAAGAAGTATATAGAAAATTTCAACATTGAGAAGTAATTCATACACTGATGGAATTGCAGATTTTAATAACTTCTCAACATCAATGAGTCATTTGAAACATCACAACTTTCTGTGTCCTGTGGGCCTTTCTCTGACATCATATAATGGAATAATATTTTCAAGTGATGGATGTGTCTTCCTGGATAACTCAGAGACACCCACACGAGGGGTGAGAACATAATTTGGTAATGCAGGCTCCAGAAAGAGACCTGTGTTACCTCAAGAGTTTTCCGGATGTTACTATACCACGTGGTTATGACCAACTTTTTGCTTTTTTTATTTTAGGCAAACCCAACACTTAAAACCAGTAAGGTAGTGAATAAGAGATTGGGACTTGGCATTCCCCAGAAGAACTACGCTATTCTCTGCTGTCCTTTCCCAGTTCCATTTTCTTTAGCTCACATATCACCATTCAGGGACTGAATGCTCCCTAGGTAGAGTCAGGCTCCTTTTCATTTCTCTAACCATGATATTCAGGCACAAGGACTCATGAATTCACCTATCAAGCCAAGGGTCAGCCTGGAGACAGGCTGATCACACGAAATCAGACAGGCACTTGCAACTTACAAGCCTCCCGGAGCTTCTCCTTGTCATAGTGGAATCCTTCATAGTCTTGTAAACTGATTTTGTTCACCCGGATCCTCAGGCGATCTGGGACAGACTGGGGACTGCAAAACAAGAACCAAGAGGTCAGATACAAACAAATGGGCAGTCACACACCTGGTGGGACTGGGGAAACACGGTCTCCTCATGTGGGGAAGAAAAGGTGCACATTCAGACCGGAAGTATGGGCTCCTTACCAGAATACCAAAATTACCTGGAAAACACTTCTCCAGAAACCCAGAGCGTCTGGAATTTAGGTAAGAATATGGAAATAAGTAGAAAGAGGCCTTGGACACCAGTTTTATATCATATTTTCTATTAATTTATTAAAAATATTAATAAGATCATATGTTTAGTAGCATAATAAATTAGATGCAGCTAATCTAAAACGATGAGACGTAGAGGTGAGTTATCATGAACCACGGGCAAAGATGCCTGTGACACTCAAATGCTGTCAGTGGCCGCCTGGCCCACAGAAGAGATGGAAAAACTATTAAAAAGCAGACTGTGTTTCCAGAAAGCACAGGACTGAGATTGAAATAGCTCTAGCATATTAAAATAAATGCTAGATGGCCTGTGATGGTGCCACTGAGCACCCCAAAATGAAGGAAAAAATTTAAATAGGTACCACATACTTACTTTAGGAAGAGAATGAACTGTGTACCTCATTTTAAAAGAATCAAATCCATATTGACTCAGGACACATACTAAATAATCAAATACTGTAGCATCCAACATTCTGAAGCATCCTACTGATCCTCAGAATGTTCATAACTAGACTCTTTGAATTTTCTTCAGTAATATTTTCAACATAGTTCAATCTTCTGTGAGAGTTAAGTGAAATAATTTAGCTTTCATCACCACCACGATGAATCAACACATTCTTCAGCATAATCATGTAACACAATCCTTATTTGCCCTTGACTACTACTACCTTCTACTTAGATTTATTGGTTGAGAGCATTTTCTCAACTAGAGGTTTACTTCTGACTTTTTTATAGTAAGTGGTGATAAAAGTCACCACTGACTAAAGTAGAAAGAATAACATTACTTTTCAACTCATTATGTAATGGAGGGAAAGGACGGAAAAGAAGAAAAGAATGGAAAAAAAGGAAGGAAAGAGAGAGAAAGAACGAAAAGAAGAGAGAGAAAGGGGAGAGAGGAAAGAAGAACAAAAGTGGGATGGAGGAGAGCGTAATGCTTGTAAAACCCTAGTCAGGACATCCCTCCCCACCTCCACCTAAACACACACACATGGGCACACACTCATTTAATTTTATAGCAACTCTGAAAGAGGGAATGAAAAAACAATTTAATCTCATTCTCTCATATAAACCTCATTTTAAGGCAAAGTATAGTAACTCCCACTCTACTTACCCAAAATAACACAGACATACCCAGCTAGAATACATATGGCACCCACGCATGGTCTCTTGCTCGCTCGCTTGCTCTCTGTCTCTCATACACACACACAGATTTAAACTGTGACTATTTTAAAGTGTACATGTAAGTGCACACACTATAAAGAGAGGTGGTAGACAGGTAAAACTGTCTGAGGTTCACTGGATTAAAACCAAACCATTATAAAATCACACAGATGGATATTTGGGTTGGAGGGGCTTGAGAAGACAGATTCAATAGCTGTGCTGATCCATCCCTCCAAGTGTGCTTGCTGGGTGCCTGTTTGGTATTAGCACTGCACTGGACATTGACAAAGCATTGATGGATAAAAGCAATGTGAGTATTGAAGCTGGAATGGAAAATACAGTTTGACAGCATAATATTTATACATACAGACCATGAATTAGTAAAGTTACATTATATTATATTTAAGATACAGACCTTAAATATAATGCATACCCACACTGTCATTTATAGATAGGGAAAGTGAGGTTCAGAAAGGTGAGGGGATTTCAAGGTCACATAGCTACTAAGCGGCAGAGCTCAATGCAGAGTCTTGGATTCTTTACTCATCAGTTTCATGCTCTTTCTATTGCACAACACTCCTCTGAGAAAATCAGATTCTCTAGTCAATGAATACGAAGAATCCCATTGATTTGACAGCAGAGCTATGAAGTATGGATTAGCAGAGCCCAGTGAGCTCTATGTGGTGTTCAGCTTCTATCAATAAACACTCATCAAGCGGGTGATTAAGGAAGCAAGATGACACGTGGCAGATATTACAAAAGAGTGTGTGGATCTGTTTTTTTTTAGAGGGAATTCTGGCTACAATATATTGTTAAGCACAAAAAAAAGTCATAGAAAATTATATATGATATAAGCTCCTTTATGTAAATTGTGAAATTTGGGGATGTGGGTATGAAAAGAAGTGTTGAGCAAGCTGTACCAAGTGGTTATCTCTAGGTGGTGGAATCTGGGGAGCATTTTACATTGAGTACCAACATTTTAAAATAAATAATATAGCTCAGGGGCATGTCAATATAAATAAATAATAACTCAGGAAAAGAGGAAAAATAAGGACTGTAGCAAAAAGTATTGGGTATTATTAATAGATGTGAGTATGGAGGAAGAATTTAAGGGTTAACATAGTGACCGTACAATGTTCTCTGTCAATCTTTACCCACAAATTAAGAAAGTCTGATTTTTATTTATTTCCAAGTAGTGGTTTGCAAAAATTAAAATTAGCAAATATTTGCCTGCCAACATAGCAGATGAAAGGGAAGCTGGGACGTTAGACTGTGGTGGCCCCGCACGCTGTCACAGAGAAGTGGGAGGGCAAGGGTCGGAAGCACTCCTCCTAAACACTTTTCTGAGATAACAGGAGATCTATCGGCAGGGGCTCCAGTCATCTCCACTAGACCTCACTAGAGCCGCAGTTGCCATGTGGGAAATAAGATTTGGAGGCTGACTGCCAACCAGTCCCTGCACCACTGCCCCAGGGAGCTCCCCTGACTTTGGGCTACCCCGTGTGCAACACGTTGCCTTTCCCAGCATGCATCAGTACCTGGTCCCTGCCCATGCACCTCCACCTCCCAGGTTGTCACTTATGCGTGCCCTCTGACTCTAACCTGCGCCCTGGCCCTCCACCAGTCTTCCCGACCTCAGGAGAAATTTATAGATCCCGAGTAAATTCACATATTGCCTCACTTCATCCCCAAGCTAAGCAAGATAGAAGTCCCTGAAGACTCTCCCTAAGCCCCACTTAACTCTGGCCCGTCCTCCTCCCTCCACATTCACTCTCCAGCTCTGACCTCCCTCCTCCTCCCAGCACCTACACTCCTTCTCACTGCCCACCAGCAGAAGCTGACTGGAATCCAGGCTTCTAACTAGAGTATCTGCTCTTTTGTCTGCTATCAAATACTGTCCCAGCTAAGGGCTATTAGCAAATTTTAGAGCATTAGGCCATAGAGTCCATGATGGGAAACCTTTCTGAATGATTCTCAAGGCAGACAGGGGAGGCAACATGGCCAAGTGGTTAAGAGCTCAGGCTCCAAGTCAGATTGCCTGGATTTGCAATAAATTTCTTCCAACTACTGGTTAATCAGAAAACTCTGTGTTTCCGTTTCCTCATAGCTAAGGTGGAAATGACCATACTAACTTCATTGTATAAGAATTAAATGAGTTGATACATATGATGTGCTTAGAATAAAGCCTGGCACATTATGAGTGCTCAACGGACATTAACTATTATCACTATAACGATCACTCTAAAAACTGCTCCCCTAGATAGGGTTTTGCCTAACAAACAATAGCATTGGAGGATAGTGAAGTCAATTTACAGCACATACAAGGACCTCTGTAAATATTTATGACAAACTTCTGGGCTTCCTCGGGGTGGGTGGGGTTGCTATCTAGCTTGGATTGTGGCATGACATTTCACACTCCAGGGTCTTCCCCCACCTGGTCTTTTACAAGACCGACTAACAACATGAAAACAGACAGCTCGAACATGAGGGAGAGAAAATGCACAGAGATCAAATGAAAGCCAAGTAATTCACTTTTGTCCCTTTATGTCAAAATCTATTAGTGTCCTATTAATGGCTGACTAAAGGTGGAGGATGACAAAGCTGTTCCTCGGAGTCTGGGGAACAGCACTGCCATTAGTTTTCTAAAATTAAATTTTGCCAAGGAAGTTAATAGAGCATAGAAGAGACTAACAACCTGGATAAAAATAAATTTGCTTCCCTGCCAGCGTCTACCACAAGCTACTCCCATGCTGACTTAGGTGCTCTATCAGGGGTTCTAAAACTGGCTTGCATGGAGCCTCTCAAGCTTCCTAAAAGGGATCCAGCCATCTGTGAACTCCCTTTCATATTGAGGTGGTGACCTCAACCTGCCACCTTCTCACTAATTTCTCCTGCAACACAGTGATTGTGATCCTTACCCAGAATGGAAGTTCATGGGTCTGGACTTAACGCCCACGAATCTGCCATGAATATTTTTTCAAGACCCATAATAAGAGCACCTGTCATTAAGTGACTCGGGAGGGCTTCCAATGACCTGCAGACCACAGCTGCCCTTGTCACACTGTGCACACCTGTAACTCCCTGAACACCCACTGCTATTCGTTTACTTACCAGTCTCTACTCTCTTACAGATGCTGCCCATAGCTCTTTGAGCTGACATAATGACTCGAGCCTGTGATCCCAGCATCTTGAAGGCAAAGGCAGGAGGATCCGTTGAGCTCGAGTTCACAACCAACCTGAGCAAAGTGAGACCCTGTCTATACTAAAAACAGAAAAATTAGCTGGGCATTGTGGCAGGCATCTATATTCTCACGAGGCTGAGGCAGAAGGATCACTTGAGCCAGGGATTCTGAGTTTGCTGTGAATTAGACTGATGACAGGTACTCTAGCCCGGGGCAACAGAGTGAGACCCTGTCCTTTGTAGAATTTCAATCTATTAGGGTCAAATTCCTCCCTTATCCTCTCAAGCCTCTTCATCCTTTCAGTCCATTTCCTTAGTACACACTGTTTCTCTCCAACCCACAAAAGCCTCTTCTCATTTAATCTCTCACCCAGGCCTACCTCTCTGTAGATCAAGGAAATGAGCAGATGCTTTGGTTCCCCAGAGTCACTTTTAGACCACATAATACCACGTAATT